GACTAAAGGCTGGTCATAGGAACCCACTAATAAGGGTGTCCCTGAATCTTAATTCAGAAGGCGGTTTGGGCATAATACATTAATAATTTATACTACACCTGTATACAAATTGCCTAGGGTATATTTAAAAAAATTATCTAGGGGAAGCAATCGCTCAATCGATTCGTCCTTGCCAACAAATATCTAACAAACATATTATTATGAGGTACTACTCATATGCAAATCTTGTGGTACGAATTCAAATTGTAAATGTAAAAATAAATTATAATGTTATTTAAAAATATATAAGCGGACCAACACTTAATGCTCCAAATGTCATACCATCTATTAAACATCTGTATACCCATTGACATGTAAAGTATTTTAAAGAAACCGGACTGGGCTGGCTAATATCGTGCCAAAACCTATTACTTTTACTTGTAAAGTACGAGTTAAGTTAAAATAGCAAACTGCTGTATTTGCAACAAGTTATCATATACCTATTGTAACAGTTAATGTATAAAATAAATTAAAAAAAAACCCAATTGAAGTGGGAAAGAATCAATTTATACATAATATTATGCATTATGTTATTTTACTTCTTTAATAATAAGATACGTGTAGTACTACGTATTATTATTAAATCAGTTCAATGAGAATTAAGTTGTATTTGAACTTGGCAAACACAAAGGCTTTGTTATTGGACGATGGAAATAATTTTGTTCAATCATAAACGGTCGCGCCGCGCCGTTACGTTTAGTTACCTACATCAAATAAGACCAAATAACACAAATACAATTTTAATATAATTACTTAGGACTTGCACTATTTTCTTTAATATTGTCTTTAAAACCTTTTCTTTTATTCTTGTAGAGCCATTACGTCATGGTTTAAACTTCAAAATTCGATTTTATTTAAAATAACTTTCTCAAATGTTATAATATCGTGATATTTTATTTTTATGGGTGTATTAGATAAAGCGAATATGCGATACGAGAAATTTATACTGTTAGTTATGGCTCTTGAGTGTGTTGTTCCGGTGCTCAGACATTTCACGTTTAGCATTCTGGTAACCTCCTTGTTGGGCCCCGCTTGTACCAGACCTGGTCCCTGGAGCTGGGTAGATACGTCGGTTGTGTTAGTCATCTGGAGATCCCACACTGTCCGTACATTTGTTTTATACCACCAAATAGTCAATAATAATAGTAAAAAAACGTTACAAACAACAAAAACTCCACATATGATTTCCACTACAAAATAGTAGTCGACAAATTTAATCGTCAACGTTTGCTCAACAATAATGAATATGGTATGCTGTTGTCATTACTATTATAGTCGGTCGTGCGTTTGCACATTTAAGTACTCCGGCTGTACTTAAATACACGGGATGTATCGAGTTGAGAGTATGGTATTTTTTTACGACCTTAATTGTACTAAATTTACTTGGCTCTGGCGCAACGGTTTTTTGTTTGCTTACGGTTTTTATTATTATTACATCTATCGCACATACTGTTTTTGAGACCAGTTTTTATGACCGTGACATACAGCGCACTTAAGAAACATGTGATACTCTTCGGCGGGCTCGCTTGAAAAAAACTTTTGCTTCGGAGCACACCTAAGTACAACGTACATTTTTTTTTTTTTAAATGCTCAACTTTGAGTTTTATCGGTTCACCCGAATTAGTCGTGCAGTCGGCAAGATAAGAAAGCGACTACGTGGTTTATAATTGAATTTTTATAAAACGTCCAGTTTCGAAAGACATTTAACAGTGGTATGACTTTACAAAAGATAAGTATTACGAGAAAAAATATCATCATATTTTATTTGTTATGGAAATAGTGTTTTTTTTTTGTGGTTTTGAGTTTCAAATTTGTATACAACCGAAAAAGTTGACTCTACTCTTAACTAAGTATAAGCGATAATTATTACTATACTTTTATCCAGTTATTAAGTTGATTTTCGATACGCTTGAAAACTATTTGGTTTAACTACTATTAAAAAATAATTTATAGTTACTATAAAAATTGACGACGATGTGCATTTTAAACTCGGACTATTTTACAGCAATGTCGTCAGTTGTTCGGAAATCCAATTACAAACAGCTGTACAATTGTCGTATCCTCTTGTAAATATATTATATTTTACCTATCTCCATTATCCTCGCCTCGCTTTTTCCTTGTATAAAAAACGGGCCGATTTATCGCGTTAGTACCGACTAGTAGTAAATTAGCTTTTTATCTATTTCGAGGACCCCTACTACGAGTGCCACGTCATCGTGTTGCTTTATTAGACGACCGAGGAGGGAGTTGTAAAATAAAAAATAAAAAAGCTTTGTATATAATTTGTTTCCTTTTGTTATGTCCTCTCGGTGCAGTGTGGTCGCATTAAACGGGTCCGCAGATAAGGTGGAATGGTCACGACTAGCTCGTCTCGTGCAAGCACCTTTGATATACCGAGGGTTGGGGGAGGGGGTTGATAAGGGACTAGATGAGAACTTAAGGAGTCTTGAAAATATAACGTGACAAGCAATATTTACGGAAACCACAAGCATTTCGCCCACCCACTGAAACGGTAAATCTCGAATAATATTTCTCGATTACAATTGACGTTTAAGTCGATTGCCGCTTGTATTTTATAGCTCTATAATGTTAACTCGAGTGATAAAATGCAAATTTCGATTAAGTCGAATCGTCGTAAGTAGGTGTTTCAAAAGAGTAACAATATTGAAGTTATACTAAGTAGTATAAGTAGCTAGAACTATAGATTGGAGATCAGGTTAATTATAGTTTTGACAAAACTAATATTTTGTACTATGTTGTGTGCGATTACTTTGTGTAACGTTATTACATTACTCAAACACATTTTATTTGATTAAAACTAAGCTGCAAATTGTTTCTTTAGATATTATTTAAAAAATATCATTTTAATGATCGCAGTCGCTGAACTATTTTGTACTAACATTGAATTTTCAAATTCATTAACTTGGTTCGCTTAGTGCATATATTAAACCATTTTAAAAGGTTATACAATTGCCAATAATATACAACTAAAACTTTTAAATTTATAAAGGTAGATCCGTGATGTTAATTCTGTATTTTATTAATTCAAAAGCGGCTTCGAAAAATACGAACATAAGTAAGTAAAGCTTTTAAAATTTAGACATAATTATGAATTTTTGAATTTCATATTGAAATAGAACTTTGGCTCGTACGAAATCGTTTCTATTCTATAGTGTTATGTTTTTGGAGGTTTCCCTTGTGATTTAGACATTTTAGTCTAACCTCTACTTTCTACTTTCTTAATCACAGCCTTCCATTTAGTTACTTAACACTTCTAACCACCGACAAATTGCTATCACGTGTCCAAAACTTTGTCATGGCATAACTAATTGCTATTTAGCAACACTCAACGGCACTCAAACAATAGTTACAGCCAGTTTATCATGTTGTTGACGCGCTAAGTTTTTTTAATTGAAACTTCGTGTTCTAGGTTATATTGTTTATATGAAATCATGTCATGACTTCAAATAAATGATTCATTTTTTAAATTAAGTTATGATTTTTTTTTCATTAAATTATTACTCGTATATTACATTTGAGTTTAGTAAATTCATGTTTTATTTTCAGCTCAATTAAAAAAAAAAAAAAATGGTAGCATTGACTTTACTATTGAGTCATTGCGTTGGGGATTAAGTTAAACATATTACTATACTATAATTTATATTTATGAAATGCCTCATATGTATGTTAATGCTTACTATAATTTTATAATGAATTATGAGTATCGTAATAAATAACTTTTTTTTGCGTACATACACTTTTAGATTCATAATAAAACATTTTACTTGTTCGTATTTATTTATACACCCTTATGAGGAAGTTAAATCTCTATACTTATAAATTATGTTTCGACTTTAAGGAACCTATTGTCAGTGGTCCTTTTTTTTAAGGTACTCTTTTTTTCCATTGGTTTCTTTTTTCGACTTATCTTTATCTGTTAGCAGATCCTATCTTATGTATAATTGACTACTCTTAGCGTCATGTTATCGATCATTGTCTGTTTCTCTTATGTTAATTATAGCTCTTATCAGTGTTTTAGTTCTAATTAGTAGCCTCTCTGTTACTACTATTATGCTTAAAATTATAAAAGCCCGAAAATATAATATAATTTATGGTTAGCCAGGAGAGTACACGATGTTTGAGATTAATATAAAACAATATTTTATAGTAAAATGTTAGCTGATGGCAAAACAGTTATCTACGACTTAATCCGCTATAGTCTGAACTATACAATATTTTGTTTTTTAATAATATAAGGCACGTGGTGAGGATATTGACTTTTTTTTTAGTGAAAACGGCAATACTAATATATTGTGGGCGAATAATCCTACTCCGGGTTTCCTTTATGTACAAGCGAAAAAGTACACAAAAATGAATACAAAATTGATTTAATATTATGATGCACATTATAGTACATAGTTTAGCACTATAGATTATAAATTGTAATATATTCTAACGATAAATCCTGAATTAATATCGTTGGCGTTCGCCCGAAATACGTGCCTAATGTCTCAAGTAGTCTCATAACGTTTCAGGCGATGATTTCTCAAAAGTTGAAATAGTATATGGAACATATTACAGTCATAATAATCTTGAAGAAAAATTGTACATCGTCACGTGTGAAATAGGTTCACGTGTACACGCGAGTCACTGATTTAGAGCACCCATAAAAAAAGAAACACAAGGACTACCGAAATTATTACTAAAGGAACCTTTTGTAAGTGTGGGACGTGCAAGAAAAATAAATTACAAATCTTAGTTTTGAAATGCGTTCGACACCAATACTGTGAAGAAGCGACACGTAAACGAGCCGCGATGTTAAATAAATCACAAAACGATAATGACGAAATGAAGCTATTATAAAACACTTCGAAAACGTCTATTAAACTATATTTTATACATGAGAGTACTTTTTACTGGGAAAACAAATTATTATACTTGTGAAATACGTTGATACTAACCTGAGGTTATCATTTCCTTGAAACCATCTGAACGACACCAAGTAAACCCGACTGTCGCAAGCTATTGCCTATTTTGTACTTTCAACGTCTTCGCCTGTAAATGAAAAAAAAAATTAATTAAAAAAATATATATATACTTAATAGTATGGTTTAGCATAACAAAGTAAAAAGCAATAACGAAAGAGGTATTCCCCTACTATTTGTATTATTGCTGAATCGTTTGTATCTAAAAAGAAAAAAAACGGGATTTAAACTGAAATGTAACATAAATTGATGCTGATTATGTTTAAGATTTAACGCTAAATTCATCTAGCCTAGCTTATTTTAGTAAACTAAAATATAACCAAGTAATTAGTATAGTGCGTTTAATTACATTAAAAATGTTTATTCAATTTTAAATTGTTTTTACAATCTCAGCAAATTAACTTTATAAAAGAAAAGTTTTTATGCTACAATTTTATTATTACCGATACTAAGATATTAATTTTCAAAAAAAAAAAAAAACCAACTAATTGGTCTTATAACATAATTGTTGTTGATGAATGTTCTCCTCTCTGCGGTATTCAAAATATATAGGACATAGGTACCATACTAGTATGGAGTAAATTTGTTTGTCGAATAAAAATCTGTGAAAAATATCGATGTACGGATGTAACGATATTTTGTTTAGTATGACTATTATTGACAAGTGTCATAGTAATAATATAATGTCGTTGGGATTAGGTTCACTCTGACCTAAATATATAATCTAGACTCTTCCGTTTTCTAGATTTATAGACATGTGGAGTTTCATGAATAAAACAATATTTTTTCACGTATCATCCCAGACGCCGAAGTATTTGATTCTCGTTTTCCCTAGAGTAATTTAGATTCATATATCTTTTCGAGAAGCTGAATATTTTAACAGTGATTTATTTTGCCATAGTCTCATTGCAAATATTTCATTTTAAAACTTAACATTATGCATGTAAAACATATGATTATACATTAACTATTATGAAAATAGCTACTGTTTATTAACTAAATCCCTCAAATGTTTACACACTATGATAAGTTTTCCCAATCATAATAACTATATAAATAACTCAAACAAAATAATTGTAAAAAATGAAACTATATGCGTTGTGCCTGATCAAATTCCAAAGGATAGTGGAACTTTCAAAAACTCAACGTTCCTTTTTAATCATGATTGTATTCTTCTTAAATTGTTTTTTTCACATGTTTTCAAGAGTACAGCCATATAGTATAAATATATACAGATGTCTAAGGATATTGAAATTCAAAAGAACGTAGTTTATTGGGCATACACTCTCTAACATAAATAAATCCTATAATCCTTGAAGTTAGTGAAAGATAAATAGAAGTAGAACAAACAAGAATGTTCATATTTGTAAATTTCTAGGCTGAAAAGAATTTTTGGTAGGTTAGATAGGTTGGAGTTTGGCTATGTTAAATTATAAGAAAGTTAGGGATCGCTCAAATAGTAGAAATAAGAAAAGTTAAAGGCTCATATGGCTTAAGTGTGGCGGAGGATGGAAGAAACAGTAATGAAGAATATTGACCTGATATCAAAGAGCAAAGGAAAATATAAGGCTAGATGCTGGAGTAGAGTGATAGATCATCGGAAAAAACCTAACCTATGTGTATAGTGGAGACAATTAGGGATAGAAAAAATTCAGACTCGCCAAGTTCCCGAAGTTCATCTTCCTTCTGTGTTAAGATAATTAAGAAATCGTCGCTAAAAAAATTTTAGTCGCCCGATAATAAAACTCAATAAGGTACATTGGTGTATAAATATGTACCCTATATTAGCTTCTACGATTCCATCTCTATATTTTAAACGTTTAAGAATACAATTAATATAAATCAAATGTTAAGAAGGATTACAAACAACGAAATTCAATTTAAAGCTAATATAAAAACTGTACAAACCGATACGTACCGTTGTTTGCAACGAATTCGTGTATAAGTTATGGTGACAATTTAATAAAAGGCTTTGTACGCATACGAACACAGGGGAGAAAAGACCACCGACCTTGGGTTTTGTTTTTTCAGTATTACCGCACACCTAAGTCATGCGTGTTTACTTTTCAGCTATTGGACTATAAGGAGCAATGAACGCATCTTGAAAGCTTTTGAAGGTATTAGACTGCGGGCAACTGTTATACCTATTATATGTGCCAACCTTACACAACGACGCGACGGCTTTTGCTTATTGTTCACGGCGGATGGTTGAAATATTAAATTTTAATTATATATTTTCAAAATTTAATAAGAATCGGATTTATTTTTGTATCGAGTTTTCAATTTATATCACAATGAGATTTAGAAATTTCAATCTGCCAAAGTGTGCGTGGAGTTTCTGTATGAAGAATAAAATCGTTTTTCCGAGGATGACTTAAGAAAATTGAACTTTTATCTTCTTGTCCTCCGCTAGGATTAACATCTAATAAAAAAATTTAGTTCTTTTTTTATGTAGAGAGCTATTTCCATTTGCTAATTGAAAGATCGTTGGTAAATTACAATTCCGCTTGACGTTTAAGACAATTTTAACTAATCATTTATAGCGGTATAAGAATTGTTTAATTCATTTTATCAATCTCGTTAGAACAATATTTTCATGTAAAAATAAGAGTAAAATAACGAAGTATTTTATCATTTTTGTAACTATTTAATCGAAAGTCCTCAAAATAATTAAGAAAAATAACCGGTAAAAGAAATTAAGTATTCAGTCATCCAAACAAAAAAATGAATTATTTAATGCCACTTTCATGCTAGAGAACAATGTATTTTTAGTAAGGTAAAGCCGTTAGTGGCTATTTTTAATAAATTTATCAGCTGACATAAGTTCAGATGAGTAGTTAGGCTAAAGTGGCGTTGAAGTAAATTATTGTATACAGTATAATTATAATGAAATTTGTTCAGTTTTTATCAATAGGTTAGGTACTTTTAATACTTTTGTAAACAAAAAAAGGCTTGACTGTATTTTGGTGGAAAATTAAAATGGTGTGAACGAAAGATAGTAAGTAATAATTTATCCAATATTTTCTAAGAGCAAAACGAAAGTAACCTTTTTTTAGATAATTTCATTAGTTTTTTCAATAAACTCCTATTATGCCCAACACGTATGCTAGAAGACTTTTCTGATTATATATCAGAACCAATATTTTTAGTTCTTATATAAATACTATACAATCTCTACATAACACAAGTATTTATACAAATAATAATTACGTCGGATTATTTAATTGTTATATTAATGTTTTACATTATTACTTTTTATAATAATTGTGTTTTTTTTAAATGTAAAATAATTTTTCTTACCTATTTCGTTTCGAGTCGTAGAAGTTATTTTCTAAGCAAATAATAATTGAACTATTTGCTATGGCACCTGACTACCGGCACATCATTATATATTTTGTAAAATTGTTTTCTATAATGTCGATCAAGAAAATTATATATATTGTCCAATGACTTACAACTTTATTAATCGATCATATTTTCCTATTGGAACCATTGTATGTAAATGCCCTAAGATTTTCATTTATATTTTCGTCATTAACACACTCAATTTTTCGAAAACACAACACCTAACGTAGGTAATTACACAGACTGCACATCCAAGGCATATGTTTGTACAACTGATTACAAAATAATATTTTCAGTGAAAAACAACGGAACATAGGTATAGAACGCAATTTACGGCAACATCGTTATTACCATTTGTTGTTTACTATGTGATGGTTTATTGAAACACACAAATAGTTATTAGAGTTAGTTCAAGAGCCGCGAGTAGTTAAATATAATCACTGGAAAACCGTTAATTATGTGGACGTATCGTTTTAATTAGTGTTGGCGTTTGTTGTACTCAAATCAAAATGCGTATAGTCGTTGTCTGTTGTCAAAAAATATCGATTTGAGTACCTAGTTAGTAATTGAACGCGGTTAAGATCCAACACGTCATAACCGTTGATTAATGAGTGAACGTGAGATCTTATATTGTTGTGTACGAAGAAAAAAAAAGAAAGAAAACAAACCTGAGAACGCACATCACGCGTAAGTATATATTTTATTTCATTACTCAAACAGAAGGGGACCAAAACGAGATGATAAAGGAACGGGAGATAGATGGCTGACTAACGAGTAATATGGCTTGTCCTAGTTTTAAGACAAGACTATTTTCCGAATGCCAGCTCTGGCAGTTGAAAAACATCTGTCGGCAACGGATGAGTTTTGGGCAACTGTCGGAGGAAAACTTGAGATGCGATTAAGGTCTTTTCGCACGCCGTGATTTGAACCCTTCGCCCAATGTTTTGTCGCGTTTCCACTCCTAAATCTTAAATAAGCTCATAAATCTGCGGAAAAAATCAACGCAGCGACGTTATACCGCATTGATAATCGCCATTACATTGACTTTCCATAATCACCACCAGAAAGAATAAAATATTTCATCGCAATCTATCATATTGTTGGTTATTTGTTTAAGTCAAATAAATTGAATAATTACCCATGTTAATCAATAAACAAAAAAAACCTACTATATTCCGGGTTGTAATTGGAAAATTGATTTTAAAATCCATGCGGTTAAAACCGTAAATTTATTACAATGAAGCAGATAACGTTCTTGATACATAAGTGTTCATTTTATAGTACAATTTATATTGCTTTATATCAGCGGTATCAAATATATATAATATATCAGTATCAGAAATTTAAATTGAAAATTATGAGATCGACGTCAAATGAAATAAGAAATGAGTATATAATAAGTAGCTTGGCAATTTCACAAACAGCAGGAAAATTAGACAGACGGGATTTGGTATGTTAAGAATGAAATAATTGACTGAAGACTATAAAGGTGCTAAATAGATTCGTAGGCCTATTTATCAACACTTTCAATGGTTTATTATCATATAGAATGAATCTTGCATACAGAAATTCTGATTAAACTAGTATACATATTGTAAGGCGTAGTTTTTTTGCTGTAAATAAATAAATATCTTTTAATTTAATATTTAATTAATTTTTTTTACATTCTGATCAAATGTCTTAATTGTACGTTGTCAGCAACATTTATTTCTATATAACTCTTTA